GAAGAACAGAAGAATTCCGAAGTGCAGGCTTTGCAACTGAAAAAAAAAAAGTGTGTCCAGAAGAAGTTGCAAGTGAATGAATGATAAGACGTGAAGATATATAGAAGTCATTGTGGGTAGAAACAGACTGACTCTAAAATTCGAATTCAGTTGAATGTTGTGGAATAAAGTAACAAACAAGGACAGAACACGGCATTTAAGGGAGAAAATAACGAATAGAGTTATCTTAATCGATAAAAGTCTAAATCTTCCAACTTAAAAGTCGCAAGTTCAAACATTAAAACATGTGAAGAAGAATCTGAAAAAAAAAGAGAGCATCTTCTTGATTTATAACTTACTCATCAAATAATAAAAACAAGAACAAAACACAAGGGAATGCAATATGGCAACAATTCAATTGAGCCTAGAGTAGGTAAAAATATTTGATCCGTGTCCAGATAACTCCAAACACAAATGTGTAATAGAGTCAAAAAAAGATAGGAAATGAAATGTAGAATGTAGGGTTCATTACAACGTGCTTCCATCCCATGGAAAAGTTCCTTGTCTTTGTCCCCTGGTTTCATGCTAGGGCTCCGCGTTTGTTGCTAGCTTGCTCTACCAGCCATGCCCACTACATTATTATTTTCATTATATTAAACCTATTCAATTAACAATTAAGTTTCAAGGATAGTACAAGTTTAGGAAGATTTAATAAAAACTAACCACAATTTGTTTGTTTAAGTTTTAGTAGTTCTAGCCCTAAAAAGGTTGCAGGGAAAAGAGGCATTGGGATTGCGAGCTGATGAAACATGTGTTTTCTTAAAGCTCGACATTCTTGGTCGGCACAACAACGTTGTCTCTTCTTCCTCGGGCGATTGTATTTGGCTTATTGACTAACTTTCTAATATAACCTCATAATTTAAATTTATTGGTAAGTAAATATCATTTATAAATTAAATTTAAAATTTAAATCTTAAAATTAATATTTTAAATATTAATTTTTCTAAATATATTAAATTAATATGAAAAATGCATTTTTAAAACAATAACGTTAGAATCATAATATCATCTAAAATTATACATTTATAATTATAATTATAATATTAAATAAATATAATATCACATTAAATAAATATATATAATATTACAAGTAAACCCTTAAATTAAAAAAATTAATTATATAACGTCATATTATAGTATAAACTTATAATATCATATAATATTATAATTATAATGTTTTTATTTTTAAAATGATCTAAAAAAAATTATTATTATTTTTTAAAAAAACCTTGCCGACATCATCGTAGTAAATCAACTTTACCAGTAAAACCAAACTCCAAAGTTCAGATAGGGCAACATACTTCACGCACATGACAAACGGAGAGGAATTCGGCCTGCGAATTCCCATGCCGGAATATAATGCTATAGATTCACAATTAGCTCCAATCAATCACAGACAAAATACAATGCTATATATCCATCTATGCAGAATAGATTCAGAGATAGAAACAAAAATTACAGCAAATGTGGACACAAGGAAGCATTATCGCAGGGAATTCAGGTTTATCAGTAAAGAACACAAATAAACTACTTATGATACTATTTATAGTCAGGGTTGTAACCTAATACAGCCAAATGAAATAAAGGAATAAGGATATCTACTTATATAATAGCATTACTACATGCCAGATTCTTCGGATCATGATTTCACATCTCCCCATTTCCTGAGGTTTCCTAAAGAGCATATTATGATAATGGACATTTATTGTTAATTACACACTTGTGATACCAAGTTAGGGGAACCATGGTAATGATCAGTAAACTCATCTAATGTGGCAGCTACTTTCATCCTCGTGTGAGGGTGAAATGATCAGCCAGAATATGCATGTATGGAAACTTTATTTTTCTAAGGAAAACAGGAAACAAAAACTGTATTAGGACCTTTTTCTTTCTTCCATGAGAAACGAGTGATGTGGTGAGCTGCTGTCTATATACAGAAGGGATATCCTGGGATGGTTGAAGAAACAAGAACATTAAAAGAAACCACCTGTCTCTGTTGCAATCCATTAACTTCTTGTTCCCCTGTGACCAATGCAAAACCTTCAAATGCGATATATGTGGAGGACCAAGGGTATTGGTTTTGTACTGGGAGCATGTGATGAAAGAAAACAGAAAAAATCCTCACATTTGCAGAAGATTATTCACAGTGACAGGAACTGAATTTGTCCTCTGCAGGTCCTGCAAATATCAATCCATTTTGGTTAAATGGGTAGATAAGGGCACTAGGAAAATTTACCATTCACAGATTGAAGGAATTGTCCTTTTTTCAGGCCAAAATAAAAAAATAATAAAGAGGACCTTAGAAACAAAAAAATCCACCAATCCCAACCATCAACATAGAAATTTTCCCAAGTATCAATGTTAAAAACAGTTTAAAACAATAATATAATTTACCATTCAGTAACTTCTACCTGTACCTCAAAAATTGTCTCATCTGGGATGTGTGGCAAAACCTCTCTGACGGTCTCAGCCATGGCAAGTATGTTTGCCACATTGCCATTTGTCATCCGTGGGGCAGTCCTCATATGCACACCACCATTTCCAGGATATCTTCCACCAACAGCTGGAGGAATTAATGAACCAGATGGAGCAGCCTGAGTTTGATTCATTGGCCAAAGGCTCCAAGCTGCATCTTCAATGGCAGTCTGTGCATAAGTTTCTCCAACAGATGCAAGATGCCTCATCATCATCTGAACTCCCCCTAGTCCAACTGACCCCATAGCAGTGGAAGGACCAGCTCCATCAACACCTTGGCTTGGCCAAGAGTGCAACCAACTTGATTCTACTTGTGCACTTCTACAAAGTGGACAGAGAAAGAGAAGCAGGAATAAGATATAGGGAAATAAACTACACATGGAAGAGAATTACATATTTGCTTTTTACTTCTGAAACCAAGATTCTGGAAGAATTTAATTGCTAGTTTGGGTTTATAAGCAAGGAAATGAACCTCCAAGGATTGCCTTCTACTGGATTCCGCATCTGATTGGAGAATACTCCAGCAGGCAAGGTACGGCCAGAAGCATTTTGCTGACCAAATCCCACAGCCATTTGACGAGCCAACTGCTCATCCATTGATGCTTCTCCAGCACGAATGTTTGTTTCGTTTTCAGGTCTACCCAGGAAAAGTGGCTTTCGACATGTTGGACATGAATAAACCTCATTCAAACCTTGATCCAACCTGGCATTTTATCCACTATTGTATAAAGACTTACCAACTAGTGAATGCAAAACCTTAATGTGGTTATGTCAAACAATCATACCATGATCTCAAGCATGCAAGATGGAAGAGGTGATTGCACTGTAGCTTTTTAGCCTTGGCCATAGGTTCCTGCAATTGCCAGTCAAGTGAGTTTGAGGGTTTATGGGAAAAAACTAAAGGCAAACAAAAAAACAAAGAGGGATACCCGACATATGGCACACTCATCATCATATGCTTTTATCTCTTCAGATGTTGCATCAGGAAGTGCTGACTGAAGAGCACTTAAGGCACTTCTTAGTTTGACAAATCCCTTTATATGCTTCACTATTGTGCTCAACAAAGCCTGCTTAAGAAAACACATTTATGTACAACTTGCATTTAGATGTCAAAATTAACAAATACATTGGCACTTACATGTTAAAAGTCAAAATGGAATATTTACACAAATACTTACACGTATATTCAAGAAAAGAACTGCATCAATGAGATGGAATTGCATGCCATGAAGCCACCATATATGCATGTAATGTCCAAGTGCCACTAACAAGGTTGCCATGTCCAGGACAAAACCCAAATTCTGAATAAGAATGCCTTTCCATTCCCCAACTGAACCTGCAGTCATACTCCATCAGTAGAAAAGAGTAACATGATAGATCTACCATAAGCAGCAGAATCAACTGACCCCTACACCCCAATTGACTATACACACAAACATAACATGTACTTTGCACAGACAAAAGAGGAGGAACATAAGTGATGAGTTATGAGAAAGCAGAACAAGAGCCTAAATAAAGAAAATCATCACAAGAGAAATTTAATAAATATAACAATCTAAACTACCATCCAGAAACCAAACTTTAAAAAAGTAAATAAGTAACAAGAAAGGGCTTCAAAAGTCCCATCAAACCTACATTATTGAGAAAATAAAACTTATCTGACAATAAACAAGTTTTTAAAATTAAACAAGAAGCACTGACTAATTATAAGAAAAGTGAGTGATAAAAGCTATTAAAACTACCATCTCCTATTTTGGATATGGTAACAACAAATCAGCAATCAATAAAGGCATCATGCATTCAGGAAATAAAGATGCCTTTGCGGTTTCTTCTCACAAACTAACCTTTATGACCATACACAGTGATGAATATCATAAATAATGATACTAACATGATCATACTAAGAAGTAAGAACAACAATGAGAAGAAGAAAACAGTTAAAGTCCTTTGCATAAAAGCAGACACAGTGCAACCTCCAAACACAACAATCTGACATCAAGCATCTTAACACCAGCAAAGCCATTTCAAAGCCATATTACCACATCCACACATCAATGTAAAAAGAAGAAATACCTGCTGCTGACAAATCAAAGATATTAGATCTTTGCCAATTTCTGTTGTTGACTCCTGTATGGTAGAACCAAATATCAAGCAGCTGAAACCCATGAACCAGCAAAGCCTACAAAGATATTTTGCATAACAAATGACCTATGAGACCTAGGCTCTAATATATCATTGTTGTATGATACTATAGAGCTTATGGGACAACAAACATATTTATTGAAAAAGATGTTAAGAAGTTTTTATCAGTATCACCTGCATTGTCTCAACAGCAATACTGAAAGGCTCAAAAAGTAGCAGCAGATAAAGAGATGGACCAAGTGTTCCTTGCATCATGAGACATAGCCTTATCCTGAATACAACAAAGAAAGAAACACAAGAATTCCGGATTTATATGACCAAATTCAAACACAAAGTACTTGTATGTAAGTAAGACAATTAGAATTTAGCCTTTAAAAGAGAGGAAACTCTATCCTCCTCTTCGCCTTCCTCACCTTTTCTTTTACTTAGATGATATGAGGGGAATTAAAGTCAACTACCCAAGCCATAAATGTAGCTGCCAAACTCAGCTGGCTTTTGACTATATTAATGTGTTACCCTTGCTTTCTTCTTTGCTGGCTAGTTGCAGTTGCTATGTGATTTCCATAAATCACGTTTTTTATTTTAGACAAAATCAACTTACGATTGCCGTAACTCAGAAAGAATAGTTTTCTAGTTTTGTGCATCAGAAATGAAATCTGAAACTATCTACTTCTAAAATGCTCTTCCACTCTGAAAATAACCAAAACAGATAACTACAAATGCATTTATCAAACTACAAGGATTTGATATTAGGCAATACCAGAATATGTCAACAGAGATAACCAACAGTAACACTGAAAATACACGGAAATATGCCCATGGTGTAGCAGTTGGAGATGCATTCAAACGTTCAAGTCGATCTCTCGCCAAAGCTTGAAACATCTGTATAATATACCAAACCAATGTCACTATGTGTAACAACCAATTCAAATCCCTCCAATCATAAATTGGTTCACATACCTTTAGGCAACATACAACAATTAACCAGATTGACCAAAGGCCTGACTGGAATATTGTTGATGGAATGACCAATGGTAGAAATGTCCCCTGCAAAACATTATTTGTGAAAAGACAAACAAAAATAACAGAAATATTATAACCCCAAAAAAGGCCAACAAAAATAGCAGTTTGAAACACAACTTGGTTTCACTATACTGCATTTGAACTAGTCAATTGATTCAGCATCTGCAGAATGGTAAGAAATATCATATCTCCCATAGAAATAATTATATGTTACCTACATAAACTCTTGCCAGGAGGAATCAGAAAGCTTCCCTTGAGTAAATAAGCTGCTAAATGTAATTGACCAACTGACCATAGAAGTACATATCAATCTTTGTGCAAGTGATGCGTGTAAGTAGATCATAACTCATGTATATCAACATTGGCTCATAAGTTCTCTTTGATGCCTCCATTGTATGAAATGGCCAACACCATTCAGAGATTGCACCAAGGTTTGCCAAAAAAGGAGCCCTAAGGTTAAGCCATGATCAAATTCTAAGGTACCTTGCTCAGTGGAAGAAGACATGATTAGAGCCTAAAGTGACTTGATGTGAATCAAAAGGCCCATATGTTGAGAATTGAGAAGCAATCAACAGCAGTTTCAAAAACAAAACCTGTTGGGCTAAAAAATTTTCCAAAGAATCTTATGTAATGGCTTCAAAACTCATCAATTCAACATCCTAGAATTAATTAACCCCTCTTGGTTAGAAGAGTCATCAGGAGGCATCAAGGCACAAAAGGTACATATTAACAATCACCCCATTCATGATACAATATGGCAGTAATACTTAAAAACAAGGGGGGGGGGGGGGGGGGGGGGAATTAAACTTACCAAACATTTCAGTGAAATTTAGCATTTTCCCTCACTAAAAAATTAATTTTAACAGGTTTAATGACCAATTATTAAATTGCTTACCTTGTAGATAACATAGTTGATAAGACATTCCAACAGCTTCCATATTTCAGATGGATACAACTCAGAGAAAAATATAGTCTGTGGATGGAAATAAGAACAACCTTTATCAAATAATATTTGATGATAAAAAAGGGTATGACAGTGAGCTAAGTACACCCAGAACAAAACACTCTTTCGTCGTCACAAGTGCAGGATAGCATGCACACTTTTGAGGTGGAACAGAGACTTCATTTGAGTAAGCTTAGTGAGTGATAAGCATAAAACGTTCTCAATTAAATTAGAAAAAGAAGATTAAAATTTATACTTCAGACATAGCAAAATCTGTTCTCTGGACTCAGTAATTAGATCTTGAAATTTACATTCAAAGATGCCAATTTATATATAAAATAAACTCTAGCACTTGATATTTTCAGGGTTTATCTAAGAAAAGACCAACAAGTAATGAGCTATGAGGGTCAAGAACCCAGCTAACTAAGAGGGTCAACAACTTAACAGTTTGGTTACCACGTAAGCCAATAAATAACAATCTATATGAAAGCTGTGCGGACATTCCTCAAAACCATCTAAAAGTTAGTCTAACTCTGAACTTGATAGAATGTGGTAAAGTGACTAAATCCTTGTTTGACCAGAATCCTACTCCCTAGCAATAGTGGTTTTTTTTTTAATGACTAAAGATTTAAGGAAAAAAAAAAAAAAAAAAGAAGAATACTGAGCTAACAACTGCATTATCAATAAGATTAACTACAGATAATAGATATTTTGAAATTCTCATTTATTAAGCTGTAAAATAAGCTCAATAGCACGTTTCTAAACTCGGCATAGCTGCTTGCTTCAAATCAATATCTAGGAAGGTAGAAACTAGAAAAGGAGGGTAGATAGCATTACAAAAATGCATGAAATTTGTGTGCAAAGCAAAATGCTAAATGTATATGCTTTATGGTTTATGACAGGCATGGTTCAACTGATGAATTACCTAAAAGTTTGATAACAATTATTAAGAAAACTTACCTTGAGAGAAAGGATGAGCAGAACAAATACATTGAGCACAAAATTTGCTACTAGGGCAGCTGAAGCATAAGAACCTAGAAGCAGGCCAAAGACACAGCTAGCATTATCTGTACTAAAAAAATTCTCAGCAATGAACCCCTCAGTCCAAAGTTTATCCAGTGAAAATTCTGTCCATAACTGAAGACCCACAAAGCTTAAAGCTGTAGAAGCTGCTGATATTGCCAAGTAGTTCAAACCCATAGGTAATAGCCACAGCGTTTTCACCGAAACTAAATTCACACGTCTTCAATAAAATTGAAATTGCATGACCATCTCCATACATCAATCACGGTTTTGCATTATCCAGAGAAGCATGGCGAGACAGTAAACCACTGTGACAATTCCGCAAGGACAAGAACATAAAAACCTGCACCAACATTCAGACAAAGATTGAACTTAAAACAGCCTGAGCTCTAAATAGGACACAACAGTGTCCTGTCCATATATCAAAATGCTTCATTCAGTATTTAAACTTCTTAAACAACTAAAATGAGGAAAGAACTGCAAATAGGTAAGAACACAGAATACTTCATGTTTTTAAAAAAAAGGACCCAACAGAATTTACATTAAATGCAACCCCAATTAAGCTGAATGGATATGAACAGATCATTTCAGAGAAACTTGTTGTCAATTTATCTTGATTCAGATTGCAATAGTAAAATTGATCAAAAGAAACCCTCAGGTTTGAATCCAAATTGCCAGCATACATATCCAAAAATTGAATCGATTCAACAGAATGAAGAAAAGAATTGGACGAATTAACGGTTTAGAAAATCAAAAATTCTCTGAATCTAAATCAGTAATTCTATGATAGAAGATGATAAATTGCAAAAAAAGAAAAAAAGAAAAAAGGAACGATCCAACAGACGACGAACCAGATTCGATCCAAGAATTAAGAACTGTCACGGCGTCGATGGAGGTTTTTACAATATACACAACAACAACCAGCAACTGCAACAAAGTTCAGGCAGAAGGTAAAGAATCCGATTTTGCACGAACTACACCAGAATTTCAACTTAATATTTGAACTTTTTAAATTTCAAATAAAATTTAATGAAAAATTTTAGATTTCAACTTAATTCATTTTTTTTAAGGTGAGTAAATTAGTTTAAATATTTCGAAGTTTAGAATCAAGTTTATTCGAAATCTAAGAAGTTTATTGTGTCTTTAGAATGGGGGAAAAGGGAAAGAGAGGGAAATGGATTTTTTTTTAATTAATTAAATTATAACAATTAAAAACAATACAATTTAATTAATATAAAAATTTAACTTTCTCCCCTATATTACTCTATTCTTTTTAAATTAAATATACTTTAGGATGAAGTTTAAACTAACACATTTCTTAATAAATTCATTTCATCTATCTTCTTTTTTCTTCAACTTCTTATAATGCCTATTTTTAACATGTACAGTGAATTTTTAAAGCCAAGTTTCTCTATAATAATTTTATATACTTAATGTTTTATAATATAAGAAATAGTCAAAATATTGCAAAA